TTCAGTCACTTCTGACTCTTTGAGATGCAGTGGACCTCATTTCACCAGGGTTGTCTGTCGGTAACTGCCTGAGTTCTTGAAAGCTCCTGCTTGCATCATCAGTAATAACATCTAGCCACTTTGTCTTCTGTCAGCCTCTTTTTCAAATGCCTTCAGCTTTCCAAATGTCAAGTTTTTTCCAAAGACTTAGGCTTTCACATTATCCATCTAAAATTTTTAAACTTTTCTTCATTATTAGAACAGTCTGGTTTTACTTCAGCTACTACTGAATTATTTGGTTTTTCTTGCGATCTAAAGTATTCCACAACAATTTTCTCCAGCATCACAACTCAGACAACTATTTTTGTTCATTCAGCCTTTCAGATGGTCCAGCTTTCACATCTGTGTTTTTACCACTGGAAAAATCAAGGTCTGACAATGCATACTTTTGCTGTCATTGTGATGTCTGTACACTTTAATGTTTTGAAGATGATTGCCATCTTCTACTATTTCTTCAAGTAGCAGATATCTCTTAATTCCATGGCTATAGTCAACATCCCTGTGAATTTTTGAGCCTAGAAAGATGAAGTCTTCAATTTATTCTCTACCTGTTTGCCATAGGTTGGCATTGCCTGTTGACATAATCTTTGTGTGTGTGTGTGTGCGTGTATAGATGGATAAATGGATGGATAGATGATAGATAGATAGATAGATAGATAGATAGATAGATAGATAGATAGATATGTGATAGACTGCACAGTCTTTTTCACCTTCTGCAAAAGTCTTCCTTGCTACCAGTCATCAAAAGTATATCATCAGCTTGTACAATTCATTCTTCTTTCATGTATAATTGAAGATCAGACTGCAGAATCACAAATATTATCTTACCAGCATGTAAGTTAAATGCATAAGCCATACAAATGTTTGTTTTGGGATTAGGAATCAGATCTGTGAACAATGGTGATAGTATTTCCTTTTTTTTTTTTTAATTGATCAGTGGACAGGATCTCATTCCTCCTAATGTGTATTGCTAAACATGGCTGCAGATGAGGTGGCAGGAAGACTAACACAGCTTTGGGTTTCATTCATTTCTCAGCTTTTGTCTCCTTAATGTGGCCAGTACAAGTTTTAACTTTGCTCTCGATTGTGTTTATGGAATGTTAGTCTTCTGCACTGTTCCTGCTCCCAGCTCTCTAAATATTTATTTATTTATTTATTTATTTATTTAATTTGTATGCCACCCATCTCCCCCAGAGGGTGACTCTGGGTGGCTCACAGAGTAAAACCCGAGAACAATTTAAAAAATAAATACCCACATTGTACATTAATTGTACATTGTTGCATTAATATGTACTCAAGGCTGACCAGTCTAGTGTTCAGCCTTGAGTCAAACCTTACTTTTACATTCTGCATGACTGACACAGGTTGAATTCTCCTGCCATTAAGTGAACATTGAGAAAATCAGCTAACGCTGAGAGAGACTAGTCCACACACGTGCTGCATTTAAGAGTAAGGGGTAGCAAAGCTACCGTGCAGCTGTGGCCTGCCTATCCTGGTATCACTGAATCTCATTATGCCAGCTTGCTTCTACTACCTCTGCTAACAAATTAATGAACTACATAGTATTGTCAGCAGACCACAAATTGGATCTCACCAGTTATGTCAATCCTCTGGAATCTCAGAGAATTTTTATTTATTTTTTTAGCTCAGTCCAGAAGAGGTAAACCTTTGCCATCAGCCCTTCCTTGACTTTGGCATCTGCTGAAGCTAGTACTGAGGGAAATCCTTCCCTAGAATGGCAAAACATGCCAACCAGCCATGCCAACTCTCCTGGTCTTCCAGAGAACTCAAGGTTCAGAGGCCACAAAACACGGCAACCCAGAGTGGAAAGTCTTGAGAGTTCTGCTAAGTCTGGCTCTCCATAAAAGTAACTTAAAAGCAAGAGTCCTCCTTATGCCCTCTTCGGATCTTGAATCCCAGTCTGAATCAAATCAGGACTGATTCCCACAAGCCTATTGTGTATTTATCTCCTAATTATAGAGCAGGAATATTTGTTATTATAATTGGTAACGGACATTTATAAGAAATAGAAGGTTGGTTACTTTATGTAAAGCACTTTAATGGAAACAGCATTAAATGATGATACATTAGTGAGAATTGGATGTTGTAGAGTATATGCTTGCTGGCAAAGGACCACCCATGTTCACTGTTCTTCACCATTGCTCTACTGGACTAGTGACAAGGAGTTGTAGTGAAGAAAATGGTAGTAAGGAAAGCGGAGATGAAGAACCGTTGCCGTCAGTATGATTGTGTTAGTTAAAAAAATCTACTGGGGATTACCTACGTTTTTGCTACAGAACGCCTCATTCATTTTGTATTTCATTTGCTAAAATCTCATTCATTTCATGCCTCATTAATTAGCACTTCATTTGCCTCAGTGCTCACACTCATTTGTAAATGTGCTTTTTCCAAACGTGTTACTACATTTTACTTCAACTTTTTACAGTATCAACAATAGAATCGACATCACAGCCAGTCCTGATGGCTGTTATTTTGTTTTTTCCAGAAATATTGCTGCCACCCAGTTGGTTGTATTAAGTCAAAAAAGAAGGAAAGGAGTTAAAGTGTGGTGCAAACTGGTAGCAGTGTGCCAGGAGAAATAAGGAAGTTAAATATTTGGGTGTCAAAAAGTTGATTGTACAGTTTCTAACTAAAGGAAGTTAGAATCAGAAAGAAATAATCTCTGGTGAGAGAAAATAAATAGAAATTAAAGAGGAAATAAAGAAGCTCCTGATAGACAGTTTGGAGTCAGTGAAGGAAATCAGAATGAAGGAAATCAGAAATCAGAAACCTTCAGCCAGGGAGTGGTTCTTTGTCCTAAGGCAGCATTTCTGAACCTTGGCAATGTTAAGAAGTGTGGACTTCAATTCCCAGAATTCCCCAGCCAGTACATTCTGTGAGTTCTGGGAGTTGAAGTCCATACATCTTAATGTTGCCAAGTTATCCTAAGAAGTAGAGCACAAGAAAGAAAGATAGAAAAAAGCTAGAAAAGATATAAAAATGATGGAGCTGTGAGTGAAACAGAGAGAAAGGAGAGAAGCAGAAGTTTGGCTGTGTCATGACCAGAAAAAAGAAAAAAAGGAAAGGGTTGGCTTAGAAAGCACCAGCTGAAGGAAATAAAGGCAATGAAATACAAAGCTTTAAAGCAAAGAAGAAAGACTATTCATAAATAAGAAGCAAGAAGCAAAAGGGAAGAAGCACAAGGCTTTTCTCCTTGTGGCACTTACCAATGCTTCAGGGAAAAAAAAAAGATGAACCTATTAAGACAAGAAGAAAAAGAGGCACACACAAGGTATTCTGGATCCTGAACACTCATAATGTTCCTTGCCTCGGACTTGTCATGCTGCGGCATGAATGTGTACATCCTCCTACTGATATTGCCACTCATGTTATTTCTAGTAAGAAGCTCTTTGTTTTTATGGCAGCTACTTAGTGTAGGCCAGGCATCTTGCATTACAGCTTTGGAAGAAAAAACCTCTTAGGTCTGTGCCCAAGTGAGCAATAAGAATGATAAGTAAATTGGACTTCCGGGTGAGGAAAATGGTAATGTAGACGCCTCCAAATAAGCAGAGACGAAGATGCAGTGACAACCTACGGACCAACAGCAAACTCGGTCCAACAGAGCCTATCCAGACAAGAAGAGGATGAGAGGTCACCCACTTGTGCTCCAGACGACTGCTTCTTATGAGGAGACCGCAGGACAGTGGTCAACCCATGGCTCTGGGCACCAGGAGAAAAGGGACGCCATCAAGCTCTCAGCTGTGGCGGAGACTTTAAGGACACTGGGTTCATCAACCTCACTTCATAAACATATTTGGACTTACAATTATTTCAGAGTTATAAGAGGTCTTATAAGCATCAAGTTTGAAAAACTACCTGGTGAGTAAAACTTCATCCCTAATTAGTAGAAAAATTAACTTACAGTTTAAAGGATTTAAGAGCATAAAACAAATGGCAAAGAATTCAATAAGAATTCAACCTAGGAAAATTTTAAGCAGACTAAGGGGCCAGACAAATTTGGCATATTAGGACTTTTGCTAAGACCTTTAAAATATTGAGTAAATACAATAAACAATAAAATACAATAAAACAAGTCGTGGAAACGTGAATTGCTTAGTCTACGAGGAAAGAGATTATTGGTGGAAAGTTGAAAAGAAACTTGAGATTTTGTGAATACAGAAATGGGATGTAGGAGGGGACTAAAGCTCCAGGCAGGAAAAAGAACAGTGACTTGCAAGATGACAGATAAAGGTATGACACCCAAGGAATTTCAAAAGATCTTTGAAGAATTGGGAGAGAAACTTATAACTAAACTGACAGCAATAATTTCTATACCTGCCAGCTTTCTTCTTGAAGAAGATTCTAAAAAAGAAGTCAAAGATGTAAAAGATGTGGAAGAAAAAATCTCAAATGATGTAGAAATATTGGAAAATGAAGAAACTGGGCTATAAGACAGAGATGACTGTTAAAGTGGAAATACAAATGACAAATCAAGAGAGGAAAAATGACCCGGACAAGGATTTATTACTGGATTTATGAAAGAAGGTTTTTATATAGAAATCTTTATTGTCATTGTACTACTTGTACAACGAAATTAATGCCACCCCAGTGCAG